TTAGGGCTTTGGATGTTTTGGGTATGAGGCTCAGGGGTTTAGGGTTTATTGGGATTTAGGGGTTAGGTTTGTTTTAGGGGTTTGGAAGGTTTAGGGTTTTTTGGGTGTAGAGTTCAGGGTTTGTTGGGGTTTAGGGCTCAGGGGTGCTTGGGGTTTAGGGGCTTTTAGGGTTTAGGGGTTTTCAAGGTTTAGGGTTTAGGGGTTTTTGAGGGTTTACGGTAGAGGCCTTTTTGAGAGCTTAGGGTTTACGGTTTTTTCGGCTGTTTTTTTTTTTCAGGGTTTAGAGCGTAGGGGTTTTCAGGGTTTGGGGTTTTGGATGTTTAGGGTTTTGGGCTCAGGGGTTGTTAGGGGTTGTTGGGTCTTTATGGTTTAGGGTGTAGGGTTTAGCCACTGTGCCCAAGAGCCTACCAGCTGGCGTGGCGGTGCTGGCCGATACTTGGGGGGTAGGAGGCGCCATGGAAGGTTCTTCGGCGTGGGTTCTGGAATCGGATTGGTGCAACTTGGTGGGGCAAGCTTTGTGCGAGCCCGCAGTCTGCCCGTCATGTCCTGATCCAGTTCAGGTTCTGCATCCGCAAGAGCTGGCCCTGCTGCATGATGTCCAGGAGATTGGCCCTTGTTTCGCCCCGAGCTCCACCGTGCGCATTGAAGGTTGTCGTGCTGCGGTTCCGGTTGTAGGTGCAACGGCCGATGCCCGTGTCCAGGACCTCACCCCTGGCCCGGCCTTTGGGGTCCTAGGTGGTTTAGCCCCGAACCCTCACGCTGGCAAGGTTCTCGAAGGTGCCAGGACCTCACCCCTGGCCCGGCCATAGGGGTCCTTGGTGGTTTAGCCCCGAGCAGGACCGTGCGCGTCGAAGATTGTCATGCTGCCAGGGTTCCGGTTGTAGGTGCCAAGGCCGATGCCCGTGTCCAGGGCCTCACCCCTGGCCCGGCCATAGGGGTCCTAGGTGGTTTAGCCCCGAGCCCCACCGTCGAAGCTTGTCGCGCTGACAGGGTTCCAGTTGTAGGTGCAACGGCCGATGCCCGTGTCCAGGACCTCACCCCTGGCCCGGCCATAGGGGTCCTAGGTCCTAGGTGGTTTAGCCCCGAGCCCCACCATGCATGAAGGTTTTGACGCTGCCAGGTTTCCAGTTGCAGGTGCAATGGCCGATGCCCGTGTCCAGGACCTCACCCCTGGCCCGGCCTTAGGGGTTCTAGGTGGGTTTGTCCCCAACCCTCCCGTGGGCATTGAAGGTTTTCGTGCTGCCAGGCTTGTAGGTGCAACGGCCGATGCGCGTGTCCAGGACCTCACCCCTGCCCGGCCATAGGGGTTTTAGGTGTAGGCCCGAGCCCCCCCTTAAGCCTAGAGGTGGAGGCTGCGTCGTCCGTGCCATTTGCGGAGGAGGAAATCGTCCCGGCCCTTGGTTGAGGCGCTCTGCCAAGCCGGCTTAGCGGACAGGCTCCCATGGCAGGTGTGGGATGAACAGCGGCTGTTGCTTGCAGGGTCTGCGGCTGTAGTGGCAGGCCAGGCATACTGGGCACACTGTCTAGCTCCAAAAGGACCTAGGCAGTTGAGCACGGCCCCCTGTAACACAAGTGCGTGTGCTTTGCCTGCTGACGTCCAGTCCTTTCTCCAACCGATCGTGCCCTGACGCAACAAGGGCCTTTCTTGGCAGATGATCAGGTTGCAGCAAGCCTCAAGTGCCTGGCGAGCTTCACCCAGCGGAGTGTCATAGTGCTAGATCCTCTGATGCTTCAAGCTGCGGTGGCCCATGAAAGCCACAGCATCCTAACTACGTTCCTTGCGGGTGTCCAGCAGCCCTTCGAAGTCATTTCGGCCTTTTGCTCCCATGACCATTGGGTGTTTGTCCATTGGCATGTTTCCCTTGGCACTGTTGAAGCGTGGACAAGCTCCACCGCAAAGCTGCATGATGCTGATGTGGCAGTGGCGCACTGCGTTTTTGGCCGGGCGCTTGGCTCACATGCACGTTCTTTCCGGTTCCACGATGCCCCTGCCAGGGTCGAAAGCCCCAACTTGTGTGGGCCGCTTGGTTTGGTCGACCTGCTGTGTCAGTTGCAAGGTGCTGAGCCATGGGCGTTTGAGCATGCTTGCGATACGGCGGCGTGGGTTCTGGCTGCGTTCGTGGCTTCTCTTGACCGCGACGGCCATGTGCGTCAGCCCGTTCTGTTGGCAGGTGCATTGCATGGAGCTGGGGCCCACCCACTCTTGGTCCAGGGCCTAGCGGCCACCCTGCGCCAGAAAGGTGTGCCGGCCGAGGCGGCGTCCGACCGTGCTCAGTCTGCAATATGCCAACTTGGTGCGGCAGCTGTCCAGAAGGCAATGACTTCGGCCCAGCCTTGGAAGCAGTTGAAAGCCTTGGCCAATCAGGCAAAGCCAGTGTTCCAGTGGATTCTTCCGTCCGAGCTTCAGGTTCACATCGAAGCCCGGTTGGCGTCGGGTGACGGCCCGAGCCATCGCCGAGCTCAACGCAAAGTTCGCAGTGTTTCAGGGCCATTGGCGCCCAGCAGCAAGGAGGTACAGGCGCCTAGGCCAGACCAGGTTGAGGTTCCCGACGGTGTCTTCATCCAGGCCAAAGGTGGCGAAACCTTGTGTGCGCTCTCCCTGCTTGAGGTAGGACCTCAGGCAGAAGGGGTCGTCTTGGTGACGCCGGCGGAGGCGTTGCCTTACCTTGCACTCTCGAGCCCAGTTTCCAAGCGTGCGTTGGCGCTCCTTGTCCTTGGGGATATCTGTGTGTCTGGGGCCACCGCGCCTGTGTCCCAGGTTCGGTTCCAGGCCCAGTGCGTTGAGACATCTGAGCCGATGCTACTGACAGCAACCATGATCCAGATTGGCGATGTTTGGGTGGCCAAGGCTGTGCCTACTCAGGTGGCGCCGCTTGATGTCGTTGATTCCACCTTGGTTCGGGTTGCTTGCTTCAAGGACCAGTGGCCTGGAGTATGGCGGGGACTGATTCAGGCACCAGTGCGAGCAATTCTTTCTCAATGCCCTCAGCTCAGGACGTGTCGCGCCTTGGACTGTGCGTGCCCGTCGTGGCATGGCCTTAGCGGCCCAGGGGAGCCCGAAGCTCTCCTGGAGGTTTTTGGCAGGCAGTTCTTGAACGAGAATTACAAGGGGGCATCGCCCTTGCCTGGTGGTCAAGGCGCGGGCATTTGGTGGGTAGTCCAGGCCTCGGAGCGCCCTGACAGATCTGTCATTCCCACAGCCCAAGGGGAAATCCTGATCGTTGAGCAAAAGGCCCGTGTGGTCGAAGCGCCACGCGTGCCGACTGTCGTTGCGTCCAAGTCTGCCCTTCGTCGCCTCTCGGAATCCCGTGTCGAGGCTGATCCCATTGATGTGTCAGACCCATGGCAACAGTATTTGGATGGCAAGGCTAGTGGACAGAGCCAGGCACTCCGCGGGGAATCATCAGGATCCTCCGGACCAAGAGCCCAGGGTGTCACTCAGGCGGAGTTAGCTGGCGCGCCGACTTGAAGAGTCGGTGGGCACACAGGTTGCCACACAGGTTTCGCAGGCGCACAGGTCTTTTGATGGCCGCTTGGCAGGTGTTGAGGAGAAGGTTGGTTCTCTTCATCAAAGGGTCGATGCCCAAGAGCAAGGTCTGCAGCAGGTCATCCAGAACATGTTTGCGGCCCAGACGCAGCGCATCGAGGAGCTCCTTGGAGCGAAACGCCACCGTGAGCAGTGACTAGGTTGGGTTTGTGGAGCGGGGTTAGGTGCCGCGAGCATTCCGCGGATGCGGTGGTTGGTGGCACGTTGTTTGGCTTGCTTTCTTTCTCTCTTTTCATTGGGGTGAGGCGTGCCATCCAGGACCTGTCCGGCAATCAGGTAGGTTTCAGGTTGGCGCCATTAACCCGACAGGGTTGAATGGAAAGGCCTCTGTTCTTTCAACGATCCATCCTGGCATCTGGGGCATATCTGAGACTCATCTTTCAGCCCAAGGCTTGCGCCAGTTTAGGCAAGGTCTGCGTTTGAACCAGGCCCCATTCACGTTTCTCCCGGGGGCCCCGGCGCCCCTGCGTACCGGAAGCCAAACTTCAGGTGGATACACAGGAGTCGGCTTTGCATCTTCATATCCCGTCCGGGCATCCCCGACCGGGTGGCACCAGGATGTGTGGAATACCGCACGCGTCCAATTGGCCTCTTTTTACGTGGCTCCTTTTTGGGTCCAAGGGGCAGTGGTTTATGGCTACCCGGCGGACCAAGCCAAGACGCACGTTCTTCTAGATGCGGTCACTGAGCGGTTGGTGCTTAACTCTCGCGGCCCGAGGTTTGTTGTGGGTGACATGAATCTCCTGCCTCAACAGCTTGAAGCTGCCCACCCCGAATGGTGCCAGCATGGGTTTCGTGAAATTCAGGCGGTCGCGGCAGCGAGATGGGGCTGGCAGGTGCAGTCTACATGCAAGCATGCCACTCAGAAAGACCACCTGTGGGTGTCACCTGAGCTTGCCTCCATGCTGTGCGAGGTGCAGGTGCAGCATGACGTTTTTGCGGACCCATGCAGTGCTGGTGGGCACGTTCTTAGGAGGTCAGGCCATGTTATCGCGGTTTTGTTGGCGCATGCCCCAGCCTGCGCTTGAACCGAAGGCAAAGGTGCAACCGCTGTCGACGCAGCCAGCCGTGCCATTGGACACATCTCGCCCTTCACAGGCCTACTCTTCCTTGTGGCGTCAGTATGAGGACCGATGGTCCGACGACAGAAGCGCGCGACAAATCGAGCCCTTGACTGAGGCCCAACGTGGCCGGGCAGCCACCCTGGATACCAAACTTGTTCGCACGGCTCCCGTACCGATGACTAAGGGCAGGCATGGTGAGGCCGAGGTAACCTTCTTTGGTGGGGATTGGTGGTTCGGTCGGTGGTTCAAGCATCTTCGTCGTTTGCAGGCCTACATGCAGGTCGCGTGAAGGCCGAGCCGAAGCCCAAGCCAATCGGTGGCGCGCTGTTCGCCGAGCAGCAGGTTTCAAACCGTCGTTTGCAGAGTGGTGGCTATGTCGCAAAGTTCGCATGGCTGGGGATCCAGACAGGATGCCTGTCAACCCGCCAGGGGCCCAGTGTGCGCAGCAAATCTTTCAGACGTTCGAGGCTTGTTTCCGTGACTTGGAAAGCCAACTTAAGAAGCACACGCGCAAACTGGCGCAGCAGCGCCGGGTGGACAATCCATCTTTGATTTTTCGGGACATGAAGCCTGATCAGGCTGAGCCGGTAGAGACCCTTGTCTCAGGCACCAAGGCCAGAGTCCAGGAAGTGAGGGCTGATGAGGGGTTGGTGGTGCTTGATGGTTCGCCGGCTTGGGTGCCAGAGCTTCCGTTTCATGTCGGCGAGCGGGCGCTTGAGGTGCATCACACAGAGGAGGAATGTTTGTGGGGCGACGTCGCAAGCCTGCGCCCGAACGACTTGGTGCGCCAGGACGTGCTGCTCGGGGACCTCCCCCAAATCTTCCAAGCCTTCGCCAAAGAATGGATTCAAAGGTGGATCCGGCCGGACCACTTGGAGGCGCATAGGTGGGACGGCCTGTTGGCCAGCTTTCCGTTGCCCCAAGGCCGACCTATGGTGCTCCCGCCCATTTCTGAAGAGACATGGCGAGCGACGGCGCGGGCGAAGCGGTCTTCGGCAGCCATAGGGCCTGACGGCGTGTCACGCGATGACTTGTTGCGCCTTCCCTCGGATCTTGTGCAAGGCATGTTGGCCATTTACCAGGAAGCCGAGACCACCGGCAAATGGCCTGAACAAATGCTGGTAGGCATAGTGGCAGCGTTGGCAAAAGTGCCACACGCCAGGGAGGTGACGCAGTACAGGCCAATAACGGTCTTGTCGTTGTCATATAGGGTTTGGGGGTCTATCCGCGCGCGTCAGGCGCTGGCCTATCTCCGGGGAGTGGTGCCTGACACGCTGTGTGGCAACATGCCGGGGAGGGCTGCGGCTACCATTTGGTGGCAGCTTCAGGCAGAGGTGGAGCGTGCGCAAGCCCAGGGCTACGTTCTGGCAGGGGCTGCCCTTGATTTGCAGAAAGCCTTCAACACTTTGCCCAGGGTGCCAGTTCTTGCTCTTGCCGAGTTGGTTGGCCTCCCGGCTGGGTTGGTGAGAGGTTGGTCCGGCGCTTTAACTGGGGTGCAGCGCAGGTTTAAGGTACGTGGTTCCGTCGGTCCGGCCTTGCTTGCCAATGCAGGCTTTCCAGAAGGCGATGCCATGTCCGTTGTCGCCATGGCGCTGGTTGACTTAGCACTCCATCATCATATAGCAGCACAGGTGCCTCTTTCCAAAGTCATTTCCTTCGTGGACGACTGGCAGCATCCCGGAGGCAGTCCAAGCCACCAAGGCCTTTGCGCAATCCTGGGACATCGCGCTGGATGAGTCTAAAACTAAGGTCTGGGCGACAACCGCGGAAGCCCGGAAGGCACTTCGAAACCAAGGTTTCCAGACCACGCTGGATGCTCGTGATTTAGGGGGCCATCTGTCCTTCTCTAAACGTGTATCTGTCTATACCATCACGACCAGGATTAAATCAATGCAGCCCCTCTGGCCGCGGCTTCAGCTGTCACCTGCCCCCTTTGAGCAGAAGCTTCGTGCGCTCTCAGTGGCAGCCTGGCCACGCGCGCTTCATGGCATTTCGGTTGTTCTCTTGGGGGATGGGCACTTTGACGGGTTGCGTAGTGCGGCTGTGCGAGGGCTAGGGGCCAAGCGGCCTGGGCTCAACCCAGCTGTTTTGTTGGGGCTCACTGTTTATCCGGTGGCCGATCCTGCCTTCTTTGCGCTTCTTTCCACATTCAGAGATCTTCGAGCCCATGGGTCGCAACAGTGGGCCAGTTGGCCGATCCCATTGCTGTGAGGGCACTTCCTGTAGGCACGGGGCCGGTTTCGGTTTGGTTGGGTAGGTGTAATGCGGTGGGTTTGGCTTGGAGGCCCGAAGTGCAGATGCTGGAGGATTCACTGGGGGCTTTTGATCCTTGGGCCACCTCCATGCAGGAGGTTGAGCTGCGATTGGTTCGCGCATGGCAGGGATCCATCGCATCCCGCGTGCAGCATTGGCGAGGGTTTGCAGGGTTGAGACAGGCTGATCCTGTCCTCACGCGCAAGCTTACAGCCCAGTGGCCGGCTGAGGACAGGGCCTTGATACGCATCACGCTCACAGGGGCCTTCTTTACAGAGGATGCCTTGCGCCACATTGGAGGCGGCGATTCGCCATTATGTCCCTTTTGCAGCGTGACGGCGTTGAGCATAGGGTTTGGCGCTGCACTGCTTTCAACCGCGAGCGCCAGCAGGCCCTTCGGGGGAGCACTTTCACTTTCGAGGACTTACCGCCGTGCCAGTCCATGCATGGTTGGTGCATGCAGCCGCGTGAGCTTGACGTGCTACAGCAAGAACTGCTCGGCATACCGTGCTTGCTTTGTGATTTTCAGGTGCCGCATTCGGCAGAAGATCAGATCGACTTGTTTACCGATGGGTCATGTTTGCTTCCAAGAGAACACCACCTGCGTTTGGCAGCTTGGGCTGTCACAGTTGCGGCCCCCGTGGGCGAGCCAGCAGTCATCCTTGCCGCAGGGCCGGTGCCAGGCCTTGTGCAGACTGCCTATCGCGGCGAGCTGTCCGCAGTTCTGTCTGCCCTCAAGTATGCGCAGGCCTCAGGACGTAGGGTTCGCCTTTGGAGTGATTGTCTGGGGGTAGTTCGGGGTGTTCGGGGGTTGGTTGAGGGGTCGGTTCGGCTCGTTAGGCCAACGGCGCGAAACGCCGACCTTTGGCTGCAGGTCCGAGACATTTTGTGGGAATATCCTGACCGTTTTGGGGGCATCTTTAAGGTTCCAGCGCATGAGGCATTGGGGGAGGATGCAACTTTCTTTGAGGAATGGATACGCCACAACAATGATCAGGTCGATGGGGCAGCGAAGCAGGCCAATCGCGCGAGGCCACAGCGGTTCTGGGATATCTGGGATGAGGTGCGTCGTGACGTGGCGTACCAGCAGCATGTGGGCAGCATCGTCTTGGGCCTCCACAGGGCCATCGGACGTGCTTTGTGCAGGGCAAAACGCAAGCAGCGTGAGCCGGCTGACGTCGAGCTGCAGGTGGTGCCACCTGTGCCGGATGAAAGATCTCTGACGTGCCCCGTGGTCCCTGAGCGAGATTTGGCCACTGTTTTCGCCAAGTTTGGAAGGCCTTATGTGATGGTCTTAAGCAACTGGCTCCGTTTGGTCACTGGCGCTGGTGGCGTTGTAGCTGCTCGACCCCGCTGGGTTTCTCTGGCACAACTTTACCTTGCATTCCGACGTGCCACGGGAATGGAAATACCATTTTATAGGCAGTCTTCGAAGGCATGGTACTCAACGGCCCCAGGGCCAGAGGAGATGTTGCGTAAGGTTCCCCTAGGTCGGCGAGCAACTTGGTTTTTGACCCAGGTCAAGGCCGTGGTCAAAGCTGCTGGTGGAAACTGGTACACTCAGGAGACCCGGCCGTCTTCTGCCATTCTCCAGTGCCGCCTCCTTTCCGTCTACATGCGCTTCCCGGCAGAGCAGTTGGAGGCTGTGGAGTCGCTTTTGGCAGCAAGGCTGGGACGTGAATGCCAACGACATGATCGCAGATGGGCTGCCCTAACTTCGTTGTGATCGCTTTGATTTATGATTTCGTGTTTCTTGGAGCATCGAGGCTTATTCCTGGTCTTTCGCCCAAGGCGTCGGATTGGCGCAAGCGCCGCCATAGTTGCTACGCTTGAGCTGTTATGGAAAGGGTGGAAAGGGTGTAGGGTTTTGTGGGGTTTACGGTTTTTGTTTGTTTCAAGGGTTTGGGAATGTTTAGGGTTTTATTTAGAGTTTAGGGGTATGTAGGGTTTAGGGCTCAGGGGTGCTTCGGGTTTAGGGGTCTTTAGTTCTACGGGTTCGGGGTTTTAGGAAAAAGGTTTAGGGGTATTCAGGGTTAGGGTTTAGGGGTTTTCAGGGTTCATGGTTTTTTTAGGGTCTAGGGTTTAGGTTATTTTTGGGTTTCAGAGCTTAGGCGGTTTTAGGGCTTGCTCCAAAGCCCACAAAACGGACGTCTCAACGCCACGCGGTAGTAGGCCTGCACCACCCAGCGCAAAAGAACCGGAGCCGGCTGGAAACCCGGTGCTCCAAGGAATAGGGGTCAAAATTGCCACATCGCGAAACCAGGTATGAGCTGTGAGGTCACATTTGGCATCTATGTACCCTTTGTGCAAGGGGGGGCTCCCGGGTCACTCATTGGATTCAGGGAGACCCCAGTGAGTCCTGAAGGTGGAGCGGAGGAGTCCCATGAAAAGGAAAGGGCCAAATTTGCACTCTGGCAAAAGACTGTTTCCCGCAAGTGTGCAAGAGGTGGCCGACCTCCCGGCCCAGGACCTCCAGGCCTATGCCGTGGAGGCAACGACGGTGATGGTATGGTTTTGGAAACCAGCCAAGGGTTCCTCCACGTGAGGGACCAAGCGCCCCAAAACTGGGGGTTTTTGGGATTCCCACACCGAAGGAGGTTGACCTCCCTGGATGTAGCAAACTGGAGGCCCGGGCTACGCCTTTGTCAACAGTGCCCCTTTTTTTTCTTTCCTCTACACAGCTGGATGAAGGACGACCAGCCGGTCCTCCACGAAATGGTCAGGGAGTGGGTCGCAAAGCACTTCCGTCCCAGCTTGAGCGGCCATCCTGGTGGAAGAGCCCGACAAGAGGGGGAAAGAGCTCAAGGTCATCTAAGAAATGCCAAACCCATGCCATGGGCTGACGAGAGATTTCCACTGTCACAGCAGGCTCAAAACTCCAGGTCTTGGCTTCCCTCCCAGGCCCAAGAATTGTTTCTTGCACCTTTGCTTGGGCTGACATTTCTCACGCAAAATGCCCCTCCTCGTCGCGATCTTGCAATCAAGACCAAGCATACCATTTGCACCGTTCACCACTGACGTGTACACAGGACCAAGCAAGGGAAGAGGCACTCCTCAGCAAGCACACGCGTCGACGCTGCCCTCGAATAATGCGAGACCACGCTTCATTGTAATTAACAAGCAGGAAGGAGGCCTTGCCGTCATTCCCATTAGTCATCATTAATTTGTCCATTGCGACGCCCCGCGCACTCGTAAGGGGTACCTCAAGCTGGAATGGTTTGGGAGCCCTTCTCACACGGAATGCAGTGAGGAACCCACGCTTTCTTCTCAGCTCCAAGCTCAAACTTCTGAATTATGCAGGCCTCGGGCAAAATCTTCTGCTGATCACAGCAAAGCACGGGCTGTTGTAATGCTTCACGTGTAGCCAAATGGTCCTGCGACCATTCATCCTACTGACCACCCACAATCATGTGATCCAGCCGCAAAGTTGCCTTTGGTGTGGGGCCCCCGAAGCAAAGGAGACCAAGTTATAAAGTCAGGAGAGCCCGCGTGCCAACAGGCCCCGCAGGGCTCCATCTGCATACCATTAAACCAGAAGGGTACGAGGTGTGTCCATGGAAACTGGAATCTGCAGGACCCCGGTTTTGTGGCCAGCGTTGGCAGGTGGGTTTTTCGTTTTCAATCCGACATGTCAGTGAGATCTTTCTTGTGTTGATGGAAATTCACATGGCCTACAAGAACGCTGGAATGCATGATGGACCAAAGGACCATGGAGAGCCTCCACTGCAGATCGTGAATCGTAAGCCAAAACCACGAACATGTGGCTTTTCGGTCATTTTGACCTGTTGGTTCACCAAAGGTTTATTTTTCGCTGTTTGGCTTTGCAAGCAAGCATGGAAGAGTGGTCGATGGCCAGGGTTTGCATAAATTGAAAACTCTGTGGACATGCATTTGAATCATTAAAATGAACCCCCCCATCCAAACTTGCCTCTCGGATTCGCAGGGCGCGTTCCAAAAATCTACCATTTTCAGCGTTTGGTTGTTTTGGGTGGCAGAGGAAGGCGTGGTTGTCGCAGCAATTTAAAGTTAGAGACGCCCACAAAAGACAGGCCAACAAGCAGCAGAGTAGGAGAATGGTGCATTCCGGGTGTTGTGCATTCGCCAATGCTGTCATAAATTATTGTGATGTCGCCCACATCTCATGTGCAGTCAAAGTACGGTTGGAGCAGTAGTTTCGGCTGTTTCAGTTGGATCATGAAGTTCAAAGCTTGGTGCACAGTTTACGTGGCAATGAACCGTTTTTTAGTATGTGATGCACACCATTCAGTTTTTGTCAGGCCAAAAATGATGGCAGTTCGTTGAAGGATGGAGTTGGAGGTTCCGTTGACCAGTGATTTTCACGTGGTTGCACGCTTCGTTGTCAGGAAGCAGAAGCACAACAGCCGGAAGAGGTGCCCGTCTTGCATGAAGCAGATTCTCACATCATGGTTTCGATACCATGCGTATTTATCAGCTGCAATGTTCGCAAAAGATCAAGGTAAATTTACGAAATGCAGCCGCGCACTTGGCTGGCGAGGCTGGCGACGCGGGTGAAGCTGCTGAAGAAGAGTGTCTGACTGATGATGATCCTTTGCCAGAGGACACTTGAGTTCTGGCCAAGAAAGTTGTTGGGTGGGTGCAACAGTTTGTGTGGAAGTCTTGTCCTGGAGGAGAAAGTCCTCGAACTAAGCTGTCATAGATGTGATCGAATGCTTTGTCGGCGAGGTATGCGCCTGCTGCTCAGTTGTTCTTTTGTGACTGCTTAGATTGACGTTTTAAGTTGTAACGTTTGCGGCCTGCCCCCGAGTCAAATTCCGATACCGCCCTTATAGGCCCTCGAGGAAAACAGAGGGCTTTGTCTCGAGGACTCCAGGCACTTGCAGCCCCCAGGCATCCCCAGTCCATAGATCCAAATCTAAGATATCGGGACAATGGAGTTCTTGCCGCGCCGCGCTTGCCCCTCTGACCTACGCAAGACTCTTTGGCCACATGGCCTCAACACCTTAAGTTTGTCTGGTGAGATGGTTTGGAGTTTCCTTGCGGTGTCTGCTCCCGCTGTCAGAGTGCACATGACTTGCCAGCATACTGAGCTTTTGGACTCTTTGCATCTGTGTATCATGGCAAAGCTACTGCAGAGGTGTGCGTCTTGTATCCGACGACACAATTTCGCTGTTCTCCACAGACTTCCGGCCAATGCATGTGACGGAGGCGAGCTGAGATCATGAAGATTCACGAAGGCTGTACTTGTTACTCGTAGCGCTGTTTCCCGTATGCAGAAAGCTTGTTTTCTCCCTGCTGGGAGGCTCTCGAGGAAAGGCTTCACGGTTCATGCCGATGCCGCGTGCGGGACTGCTGCATGCTTCTTGTTTTATGGGGGCAAGAAGACGTAGTTTTTGCTAGGCCTGGTGTAGGGCCTGACAGGCGATCTTGCGCATGTAATCTTGAGCTATGGCGACACACTACGTGCACGCTTGGGGTTTTATGTTCCTTCTTTGTCTGGTTTGCAACGAGAGCAAAATACACAACATTCTGCAGGACGTGGCTTGCACATGTGGCTGCGTTGTCGGCTACCATGTCATATTGCCACTTGCCAAGTTTTGGAACTTGCGGGCATCGTGCACTGGTTTGACAGATCCCTCTCCAACATGTATTTCCAGACAGTCCGGACACATCAGGATTTTGTGCAAGTCAGAGCTGAGGCCATGCCGGTCCAAGCCTCAGGGCACTGCAGTGCGCCGTGAGAAGGAAGCATCTCTTGCCATTTGCCGCTTCTGCTGCCCAGGAGTTGTGCATCCGCCAGATGCTTCCTCAGAGGTTCTGTCGCGCTTGGTGTCGTGTCGGCAGCACCTGCTGATCGGAGCACGTTTGACATCACGCAACCTGCAGTCGAACAGTTTGGCACAAGATTCTGGCTGATGAAAATGCGTTACTCCACAGCTTTCGTTGGCAAGATAGCGGTATATCTTCTGAGCATGTCTGGAGAGTTTCTTAGGTCCTGCGCGCCTTGCGCCCGTATGTGAATGACATTTTTTTACTGCATGTTGCTTGAAGTCGGTCAGTTCCAGTGCCTATCATGTTTTCCCTTGGCCATGGAGCGCGACCAACTAATGCTCTCACGGATTTCCTCTTGTGCGCGGAGCGACCTAGCTGTTATTAAGGAGTCGGAGGAGCAATAACCGGCCATCAGGTTTTGATGTTCTGAGGCTCATAATCTGTTTCGTCATCTGGATTCGCTCATGGCCGAAAGTGGCGAAGAAGCAAGCTCCCAGACAGCACGAGAGTTTGGCAGTCGGTGAGGTGATCGGGAGTAGCATACAGGGGGCATGGCACGTCTAGAAGGCTTGTAGTGGAAGATGCCTTTGGATGCACTGACAAAGCTTCATTGGCAGCTATTGTGATTGAACGAGTTCTGCAAAACATGTTGCGAGATGCAAGGCGCTCTTCACCTCCTATGCGCTGAACCTCCTTGGTGGAGCAGCTTGGACAGCCTCAGGCCTGCGAGAAAAGCTTGGCGATGCTTTGCGCTTGAGGGGAACTTCCTAGGTTGAGAATGATAGGGGACGAAAATAATTCCGGGCCTCCCTTGAGAACATTTATTATTCATTTTCTTTACGGCTTTTTCAAAGGTTTGAGAAGCCCCTGAGGTCCCCAAATCCCTTCATTTCTTACAAACTAATAGGCCGCCGTGGGCTTGCTTGCAACATGAAAAGACTCATTCCAACTCGCTGCCTGGCTGATGAAACATCACGTCCAGCAAAGCAAATACCTGGCGGGAAGGAACAGCAACCGTGCACTTCCCTGCGAAAGGGAAGAAAGTCTTGCCCACCTGCAAGAAGAACAGGGGTGTTGCCACTTCACACGCCCTTGGTCAAAAGGCAGAAACAGGCCTTGTGCCGCATCGCTACAATTCCTAAAGCCCAGAACATCTTGAGTCTTGAGTAACTACACTACTTCCGGGGAGGAGAAGATTGCCAAGTGTGGTGCACACAGGTTTGTTCTGTGCTCGCTAGTTGCTGGCGACTCGATACCTCGGCGTTGCCCAAGCAAGCGGAACTCGTTGCCGCCATCCAAACGACACGGTTGTGCAAAGTGCTGTGCAACATGGCAGTTTCGGTCGCTGAGTGGATCTTGGACAAGTTGCCAAAGCGCTTGGGGTAGACGAAACGCGCCCCGGTGACAACTCCAGCACTCTGTGCAAATGCAGCGAGCGCGGTGTCACGTTTTGATGCCACACAAAACTCGGGAGCGAACCAAGGGAGCAGGTCAAGTCGGGTCTATGATGGGGTGTTGCAAAAGATTGACAGCGCTTCGTACATGCGGCAGTCAACTGAACATGGATGGCCCCATCATGATCTTTCCCAAGCTAGGGTTGAGACCAACGGTCCTGTCTCCTCACATCAAGATATTGTGGCGGAATGCAGGGGTTGCCAGCTTACGGGCCTGTGTAAGATCATTCATGACATTCGCTGGTGGGTGCACTCAGTGTGTGCGAAGCTATGCCACTACCACCGTTTAGTTGAGTGGGAACCGTCCATTAAGATGTTCAAGAACATTTTAACACGATGAAAAGATTATGTTTTTGAGCATGTCAAAGTTTTGAACGGGATACAAGGAGCCATCAAATCAGACACACAGATCAGGCGAGACAGTAGAATTTGCCTGGCAGGCGTGCGTTAGACAAAGTATGGTGAATGCAGCGAGTAGGACGTCCCAGAAATGAGCGAAGGGTGGAGGGTTCCAGGTCCTAGGCAATTAAGCAAGTCGCAGGGCAGGCAGGGGGTCTGGTCCGGGGGGTTGCCAATTTTCCAAGAAATCTGGGCAGGTCCCACAAAGCGGGGGGGGGGGGGGTAACAGAAATGTGGGGGTAGGGGGGAAAGGTTGGGTTGGACCAGATCTGGTCTGCTTGATCTAGTCGCCTCTCGGCCAGAAGCGAGGCGAATATAGCAAAGCACAGTTAACCGTACCCTCTGCACCCGGTTTGCAGGCGTGTACGTTCATCTCTTCGAGCCGCTGCCGCAGGAGATGCCGTGCTTGCCACACGTGCCACCATACTTGACCAGATCGATCATGACTCATCGGGTTTTACATAGCATCGACCTCTACATTAGGCAGATGTGTGAAATGCACTGCGTATGGCTGTTCAGATGGTTAAAATCTAGGCAAAAAGAGCCAAACAATGGATTGTCAGGAGCCCACGATAGCCTGGCAGATTTTTCTCAACATGGGCGCCACCACTCCGTTTCTTTTCCCACTGGCGTGGGCCTTGTGCATGCTTTTGAGAATGTTGTGGCTAAGACTAAGCTGATGGACCCCACGTGCAATGTTTGAGCTCGCGTGATGGCATGGAAACTTGTTGCCTTACACAGGCTGTGAGCAGAAGTATTTTGGATAGGTTGCGGCTGGCAGTTGGCTTGCTAGATTTTGGGTTTCTTGTAAATTGCCTTGCTACATGTTTCTGACATGCACTGACATCAGCAAAGTTACTGCCCTTCACCTGTACACTTGTAGGTGTCAAAAGGACTGGCACAGCCCCGTCAAAACTAAGAGGATACTGCGGACGAAGGGTGCAGATAAAGACAGTAGACATTGCGCCAATTTTTGTTCTGGAGCAGCCTGTATCAATAGTGATGGCAGCCTGCTACGTGCTTGTAGCACTTCTGCACTTGCCCGGACAAAAGAACGATGCAGGTGGTGCGGGATGCTTTCTACAGAGACAGCATGTCATCCAGCGCCGCAAGACTGCAGGAGAAATCGCACTTTGCTGTATGTGCAAGCTCTTCACTGGCATGTCATCGTAGGCTGATTGTAGGTTTTACATTCAAAGTATCGTTGCTTGCTTGCAGGACGTGAGTGCCGCGATTTGTGCTCTGCTATACGCGCTACTCGTATGGGGAAGCTTTGATCTGGCGGCAGGAAGGAGCCTGGGCTGTGATGTGAGGTTGTACATAATTGTACCGTTTGTCTTATCTGTTTCTGCGCTGTTCTCCAAGGAAGCTCCCACCAATTGCTGTGTCGCCTTGGCACACGATCGATGGGCGCAGCTATGTACCTTGACAAAGTTTGGAAGGGAGCTTTGGGATGCGCCGCCCCTTGTCGGGTCTGGTCCTCGCAAGTCAAGTCGTTGCAAGTTGGTTGCATGCCAGCTTGCTTGCGTGGCCGGCACTCTCAAGTGAATGTCAATGTGCACGGCGCTTGGTCGAGCGACACGAAACGGGAAAACGGGGACTCAATGGGTAAGGCAATGTGATTCACAGTGGGAATGTGGTAGAGTGTTCTGATCCAAACATGTTCTAAGGATGATGATAGCTGCTGATAGCTTTACACATTCAGTGCTGCAGTGCAGAGCAGTGCAGAGCTGAATGCGCTTGGTTAGGCCGGAGCGGCTTTCGGCGTGAAATTTGACCTCCTGTCCTCCATGCCGTCCGCACGATCGGACTCAGAATTTGCAACTTGACCGGCTGGGTTGCTTGAGTTGCAGTCCTTTATTCCTGGCCGAGACCTCAGGTCTTGAGTGGTCTATTCATGGCCTCGAATGCTCTGAGTGCCATGCTGTTGTTGAACGTCTGCTACAACCGTGTCAAGGCTCGAGTTTTGTAAGCATCGGTGAGACCCGAGAGCAGTGCAAAGCATGTGGAAGTTTTGTCGTACCACCCAGTCCCATGTACCGGGAAGTCATGTCTAGAGAGTTGTGATACTTTGTCTGGACACATTGTATTGCAGCTGAGCCACGGGTCCTCGGCAGGAACTTTCGGCGGTTCAGTCTCGTGCTGTGCGCCGCTTGTATCGCGCTTGTTCTGGATACGTGCATGTAAGTCTGGCTTCCTGATCTTCATCATGCTTTGTGCCCCCCATTTGCATCTCAGGTGTTCTTGCTGTGTTTGTGTTCTCCATGTTCGTGAACTGCCACCTCTTGGCGATCCTTGTAGCTGGAGGTGCCTTTTCTCTGGTTGATTCTGTGCATTTCTTGATCCCAGTCATGTGCAGTCTGCATATCTGCACGGCACAGGATATGGTCCAGCTTCACTGCCGTCACACCCTCGAGACATGTGTTGATGTTTGTCCTGTTTGCGTGCAGTTGCAGACACACCCTTTCCTAAGAGTATGCCGTACTTGAGGTTGGACATCTTTCATGTGGTGCAAGGTCGGCTGCATCAACACAGAGCAGCAAGAACGCGTGTAAATTTCGGTTTCACCCAGCATGACTTATGTTGACACGCCTGCCATTGTCAGGTCTGATCATTGGCGTGTGCTTCGGTCAACTTCGAGAGGTACTTCTTGAAGACAAGACGAAGAGTGTATAGAACCAGTGCGAAGGCGAATGCCCAACGGGCATGAAATCAAGGATGGACACGTTGTGGGTTTTACTCAGTCCGTTTCTCCTCGTTTCTCCTCAACAAAAGATTCGCGACACAGGCCTTTCATAGGACATTTGTGTCCATTTGGTCCAAATTTAAATCACCCTGGTGCTCTCTTCCAGAAAAGTCGGGGGGAGCTCCGCGGCTCCGCGAGCCAAACTGCAGCTTCTGAAACGTCTTCTCGATATGCGTGTTTGTCATGCGAGCTCCACTTCAAGCCATAGGTGTGCGGTATTTGGTGTGCACAATGATGCTCCGTGCATGATTCCAGGACGTGCGGTTAGGCCAACTTCACTTCGACAATTTTTGCCGCAAGCGTGTTGAAACAGCCGCATTTTTCCTTCAGAGTGGAGAGCTGAGCCTTCTCGGTTCCTTCGCATGTGCAACCCGACAGCCATTTTGGGCAGGAGGCTCTCTTCTCCGCGTAATTAGCGACATGCATATGTGAGCTGATGGAGCTTTGTTTCTCCGTCAAGGCAGATTGTGCTGGCCGGCAAATTGTAGGCCTGAGCCAAGGCAAAGCCAGGCAACTGGAAGCTCATTTGCCACCTTGGAGCAAAGTGGAGGGAAAAAACGTGCAACGCGCCTTGACCCATTTGCCAATCTGGAGAAATCGAACAGAATTCTAGCTTGGGAGCTGAGGCGTTCAAGCCGTTTTCTCAGAGTATGCCAAGGCCACAATGATCACTACTGGCTTTTCGATGAAGCAAACATGAAGGCCTGGGGCACTCGAGGGCTTCATGGTTTGGCATTGCCCAGGCTACTTGCAGTTTTTGCAGCTTCAGAGTGGGCTCAGAATCCAAAATCCGTTGCTTGTAGAATTGCTGTTCGAACATTTTCCCCCCGTTTGTCTTTCCATATTATCTCTCTCTTTCTCTCTCTGTGTCGCACTTCGTGGTCGCTGACATCTGAGCTGGAGGCAAAGGATCGTGAGATGGAAGGCAAACCTTTGGTGAATGCCTTAGTGCACTTAGTGCACTTAGTGCACAGCTGTGTTCTTTTGTGTGCCAGTCTTAGCAGCCTTAGCAGAGCTATGTAAACCTTGATGCTGGCTGCTTGCTGCTTGCTGGGCTTGCTGTTGATCAGCTGCAAGCAGACAAGAGCTGGGACAGGCCTAGTTTTTCGATAAAGAGAGAGGGAGCAGAGGCGAAGTGTGCAGTGAAGCTGATATTCCCAGACGTCTTCTTCCGACGAGGTTTGGGGGGATTCTTTTTTCGACAAGTCTGGCGATGACATCCCGGAAGGTACTGCTCCCCAGGACAAGCTTCCTCTTGCCTTCTCTTTCCATGGTCATCTCAACAAAAAGCTTGCTTGCGATTGCCGGTGTCAAGCTTCGACTGGCAGAGTGCATGTCCTGCGTGTGTCGTCATCTCTAACAGCTATGCGAAGATACGTGTAGACATCAAGGTCCAAGGTTGACCCATCGAGCTTCAGCAGATCCCAAAACCCGAGCTTGGCCCCACAAAGGGTCGAGAGCATGCAAAGACATCTTGCTCGATATGCACTTGTGTGAGGACACCATCACTAGCGCGGAAGATTCCAGGAATGATTCGCAGGGCACTTTCAGTTGTGTAACAGCGCATCTGACAACTGCTTTTGGCAATGCAGTTTTCCGATTGCCGAGGCTGCAGTGCCCAATCTGCCCCTTGGATATCCTGGATCTGTGTCGTCATTTTCAGGGCATGTCCGTGTTGTGAACGCCAGCCATCCTTTTGCAAGTTCTTTTCGAGAGTGCCGATGGCGCTGCCCTTTCACGTTAATCTAGGTCATGGGCTTCTGTGGGAGCCAGTTGCACCGCCGTGCGGCCACGCCGCGTGCCGGCGATGCCAGAGCCTCTAGGGTCTACGAATGTCTACTAGAGATTTCGGATGAGCCCAATTATCCCAATTCAGCAAATGAGTCGCGGATTCTGCCAGGCTTGACAAGAGCTGTGGACCTGCGCAGAGAGTGCCGCACACTTATTGATTCACCTAGCAGCTTTGCTGGAGCAATGCAGTGAAGCCTGAACGTCCCGAATAGCCCACTCCTCTCTGTGCTGAATCCTCGTGCGTGAAGAGGACCATTGCCTCATGTGTCTTCTAGACACTTCCCTCATCGGAACCAGATGCAGAGTTCTATGGCCCAACCATCCTTTGGCTCACCCTCTCGGTATGGATGCTGATGGCACCTCCACGGCAGATACTCGCAACTGGAATTGACAGCGTGGCACAGGGTATTCTGTAGCGCTGCAAAAGTACCCGCCAGAGTTGGAAAGAGCAGCCACCTGCCACAAGTCCTCGACTTGCAACGGCGTTCTCTGAGACGAGCCAGTCTTCTGCATGAGGCGGCGGAGGCGGTGCTGCTGCCAAGCTCATCCAAGGTGCCATCTTCCGGCTGCTGGGGCTTCGTTGTCCTCGCATCTTCCGATGATGGTCCCACAAGCCAATATCCGGCTCAGACACCATGTTGAGACAGTGTGGCAAAAATGTTTGGAGACCGGGTGGACACTGTTTGGACACTGTTTCCTGTTGAATCTGAGCTTTGTCCTGGCGTCAACCTGCAAACTCTGGCCTTGCACTCCCCAATGGCCTCAGATTCTTGCTTTGCGTCTGCGTTCACTCACGTGTGGAAGGAAAAGGTCAGATGCCTCGGTGGGATGGGGGCAGGGAGGAGGGTGTAGGCACTTGAAGGGTATATATAATTGGGATGTTACAGGGCTACCCAGGGGCATATCGGCATCGGCATGTAAGGTCTTTGCAGCATGCACGGCTGACTTCAGGAAGGAGACTCGTGTCTTCGCTGCTGCTGCCATTTCTGCTTTCCCCGTGCCTGCTCTATCGCAACTGACAAAGAAGCTGTTGCTAATGCTGCTGCTGCCACCGCTGCTGCTGGTGTGTGGCGGTGCATTTTGTTTGCCGGTGGTGGTCGAGCGTATATCGGCACAAGGTCCATACTGCCGCAAGGAGACAACTTGCGCAGACCTTAAGCCAAAGTTGTGGCCTTACCCGTTGCGTGTGTTCGTTGCAGCTTCGGTTTCGGCCATTTTTTCATCATAGGTTGAGGTTTCGTGCCATTGTGGAGAGAATGTTGGTCGGTTTCAACAATCAGAAATAGCCGCACAGCCATTTTAACTGATGCTTGCTTTTTCAATTCAAGCTTGCTGGAAACTGTGCCGGTTCCAGGTCAGAGCTGGCTGATCAGGTCGCTGAGCATCGGAGAAAGAGCCGAAGATTTGAGGCGGATGCAAAATTGTCGGAGCGAACGCATCATCAGCACATAGCAGCATGTCCAAACTGGATCGTGGAACAGTTTTCAATCAGGAGTTTGGCATGTGTTGTCTTGGTGCTGGTTTTGCGAGGCTCTTCAGAGCTACGACTTTACGTGCTTGTTGGACTCAGTCTTCTTGCAAAGCAAGCACAGCCAAACGTCCTTCATGATATGACAGCCACTCCACCCCTACTCATGTGTCACAACGATATAGTAGCTCCCCTCGTTGGGCAGCATGGTAGCCCTGGATGGGTCACCTGAAGCTTGCCTCGGTCTCAGAACATGTTAAGAACACTCTCGGAGACCACCAGAGGATTCAGACAATCGTCACTAAGCAGTGCTGCCACGTGTGAGCGTTTAGATTCGTTCCAGGTTTGCTTGGGCAGCCATCTACCCTTCCACCGCAGGCCAAGTGTTTCGCCTGATCGGGTCGTTCGCAAAAGTGCAAGTACGGAAAGTAGTGATGTCGACATGCTAGATGTCCAGGAATGCCTTTGGCCAATCCGGGCAGATCAGCAACCTGAGGTGCCTTGCGTTTGGCTTTTCATACTTTTCTTCCCTTGAACCCCAGTTGTGTAGGTCCGGCCTGCCATACCCCAGTCACCCATTTCCTGAACTTTCCCAGCTTTGATCCCGTTGTCAGGTGGTCCATACAATGGACGAGTTCCTGGAGATCCTGCAGATGCAGCGGCACTTGGAACGCGTAGTTGTCCCCGTCTCAGGCTCGTGCAAGTATGCAAGTACCCAGTTCTCTTGCGTGGCCCACTTTAGAACCGCTTTGGGCACTTTCGCATGGTTCAGTCAGGTCTTGCGTAACGGCATTGAGATGCTCGGCCAGACTGGCGCGCTGCCAGAACAGCCGTGGCCCCACACAACGTTGCAAACTTCGCAGAGCCAGCAGTGCCATCCATCACCATCCCTCGTGCCCAGCGATGTATCTGCATACATATTCCTGGTAGCTGCATCGGACTGTCTTTCCAGGCTTTGCCAAGCAATCGCTGGGTCGTCTGGTGTCCGTGACGTGCTAGGGCGCCTTGGACAGCAGGTGCGATGCTCCGTCAGAACTGCTTTTGGCTGAATTTGAACTGCATTTGCCTTGGCCTTGGGGCCACTTGAGCTCAAGCACAGGCTGCGTCTCGCTTCAGAGCGCTTGCCTTAATATGTCGTAGCAGTATTGCCCAGCTGATTGATGGTGCCCCTGCAAAACTTGTTGCACGCATACCGCCAGATGCGAATGTAGATTTACGGCAACACCGCTTTGTGGTTTTTGTAATGCGCCGCCAGCTGTGAACAGGTAGCTTGACTCAGACTGCATCAGGTACAGACACATGTCCTCCCCGCTAATGTTGCTAAAGTGGTGTTGTCCTCCCTCTTGTTGTTGTTGGTGAACTTCCTCTGCACCTCCTGTCGTTGTTGTTCATGTGCATGAGTTAGCATGTCTCTTCTGCTAATGTTGGTAAAGTGTTGCTGAACTCCCTCTGGTTGTGGTGATGATCTACCTCGCCCGTTCTCCGCTTCAAGACGTCTGACCTGTCTTTGTCCCGTCCGCCCTTTGGGGGCATGTGTGTGTGTGTGTGTGTGTAACCTGCTGTACATGCAGGATTGGGGTCACGCCCGTTTTTCGATTTCATGCAGGGGGTCCCAGATCTGCTACTCATGCTGGGACCAACGAAGACCATGAGTAGCAGATGTGCAAACGTACCTGCCATGAGGAGTACCTGCGTGGTTGCGTCCGCAGCTAGTATCCTCAACGGGCACAGAAACCTCATCCCCGCAACGTGTTACATGTTGTCGTCAGCATGGCGCTTCGCAGACGACAACATATGCCATTCCTGGTGTCTGGCACGACGACGACACAAGGAACAGAACCCGCATCCCAACGATCATTCCTGTGGTCTGATCTGGGGCCTGAAACCTAGCCCAAACAATGACGACAATAGTCACTGACTATGCTTGATGTTGTCCAGTCGAATGTCCGTCTCATCAGTTCCAGACAAGTCAACGTGTGTATGGTTCTGGCGTGTTGTCCCGTCACGGGGCCAGATCCCAGAAGACCCGGGCATCCGGGATTGACTGAGCTCTGCTGACTGAGATACTCAGTCATCGGGATCATCTGCAGTAGGCTTTGTGGCATGAGTGAGTGCGAGCACAGACATGTCATCGGGATCATCCAACTTGCAGACGCAGAGGTACCCGGACGGCGCCGCTTGAGCTGTGAACAGGTAGCTTGACTCAGGCTGCATCAGGTACAGACACATGTCCTCCCCGCTAATGTTGGTAAAGTGGTGTTGTCCTCCCTCTTGTTGTTACCGCCGCCGGTTTCTGTGATCCACACACCCCCCCCCCCCGTGTGCAGCTTAAATAGGGTCTATTTGGAAGCTGAGACTCGTGTTTTAAAGAGGAAATCAGGCCCCAAAACGTATACTTATTTACAAGAGACAACTTCCAAATAGACCCTATTTTGGGTTCTGTAGGGTTGCCAAGACAGAATTTAATTCAATTAATTCAATTAATTCATTTATTTACACTTGGGGAGGTTGAATTAATTGAATTAATTGAATAAATTCAATTAATTCACCCCCCCCCCTTTTGGAATTAATTGAATTAAATGAATTAATGGAATTAATTGAATTAATGGAATTAATTGAATTAATTCAATTAATTCAATTAATTCCAAATGAGGGGTGAATTAATTGAATTAATTCAATTAATTCAGTTAATTCAATTAATTCAATTAATTCAATTAATTCAATTAATTCAATTAATTCCATATGGGGGGGTGGGGGGCTCGGGGCTGGGGGCGGGGGTGGGGGGCACCATTTGGAAATAATTGAATTAATTGAATTAATTCACCCCCCCCCCCTTTTGGAATTAATTGAATTAAATGAATTAATGGAATTAATTGAATTAATGGAATTAATTGAATTAATTCAATTAATTCCAAATGGGGGGTGAATTAATTGAATTAATTCAATTAATTCAATTAATTCAATTAATTCAATTAATTCAATTAATTCAATTAATTCAATTAATTCAATTAATTCAATTAATTCAATTAATTCAAAATGGCGGGGGGCACCATTCCGGGCTCGTAAATTAGTATTGCGGGGAGGCCCGGGCTCGTGATTTAGTATTGGGGGGAGGCCCGGGCTCGTGATTTAGTATTGGGGGGAGGCCCGGCCTCGTAATTTGGAGGCCGGGCTCGTGATTTAGCCCGGGCTCGTGATTTAGTATTGGGGGGAGGCCCGGGCTCGTGATTTAGTATTGCGGGAAGGCCGGGCTCGTAATTTAGTATTGGGGGGAGGCCCGGGCTCGTGATTTAGTATTGGGGGGAGGCCCGGGCTCGTGGTTTAGTATTGGGGGGAGGAGGATTCCCCAGCCCCCACCCCCCATTTGGAAATAAATGAATTAATTGAATTAATTGAAATAATTGAATTAATTCAATTAATTCAATTAATTCATTTTTTTCCAAAGGGGAGGTGGAATTAATTGAATTAATTCAATTAATTCAATTATTTCAATTAATTCAATTAATTCAATTAATTCATTTATTTCCAAATGGGGGGTCGAACGCGATGAGAAATGCGCGGCTCGATTTGGCCAAATTTTGCCGGGCAGCCTCCGGGCAAAATTTGGCCAAATCGAGCCGCGCCTTTCTGAAGGCCCGAAATTTTTAAACTATCGCGGCTCGATTTGGCCAAATTTTGCCGGGCAGCTTCCGGGCAAAATTTGGCCATGGGGATGAGAAATGCGTGGCTCGATTTGGCCAAATTTTGCCCGGAGGCTGCCCGGCAAAATTTGGCCAAATCGAGCCGCGCCTATTCATTTATTTCCAAATGGAGGGGGGGCCTCGCCCCCCCCATCCCCACCTCCCCCCTCCATTTGGAATTAATTTAATTAATTCATCCCCCCTTTTGGAATTCCCCATCCCCACCTCCCCCCTCCATTTAGAATTAATTCAATTAATTCATCCCCCCTTTTGGAATTAATTGAATTAGTTGAATTAATTGAATTAATTGAATTAATTCAATTAATTCAATTAATTCAATTAATTCAATTAATTCAATTAATTCAATTAATTCATTTAATTCATTTATTTCCAAATGCCCCCCCCCGTGTGCAGCTTAAATAGGGTCTATTTGGAAGCTGGGAATCGTATTTACAAGAGGAAAACAGGCCCCAAAACGTATACTTATTCACAAGAGCCATGTTCCAAATAGACCCTATTTTAGGTCCTGTAGGGTTGCACAGACAGAATTAGTTCATTAAATTCCTTAATTTCCACTTTCCCCCTGGAATTTAATGAATTTAATCAATTAATTCAATTAATTCATTTATTTCCAAAGGGGGGGGTGGAATTAATTGAATTAGTTGAATTAATTGAATTAATTGAATTAATTGAATTAATTGAATTAATTGAACCCCCCCTTTGGAAATAAATGAATTAATTGAATTAATTGAATTAATTCAATTAACTCAATTAATTCAATTAATTCAATTAATTCATTTATTTCCAAAGGGGGGGTGGAATTACTTGAATTAATTGAATTAATTGGAATTAATTCAATTAATTCAATTAATTCCACCTCCCCTTTGGAAATAAATGAATTAATTGAATTAATTGAATTAGTTGAATTATTTCGATTAATTCAATTAATTCAATTAATTCATTTATTTCCAAATGGGGGGGATTCCCCAGCCCCCACCCCTCCCCCCCCTTTGGAAATAAATGAATTAATTGAATCAATTGAATTAATTCAATTAATTCAATTAATTCAATTAATTCAATTAATTCAATTAATTCAATTAATTCAATTAATTCAATTAATTCAATTAATTCAATTAATTCATTTATTTCCAAAGGGGGGGTGGAATTAATTGAATTAATTTAATTAATTGAATTAATTCAATTAATTCAATTAATTCAATTAATTCATTTATTTCCAAATGGGGGGGATTCCCCAGACCCCACCCCCCCAGCTCGATTTGGCCAAATTTTGCCCGGAGGCTGCCCGGCAAAATTTGGCCAAATCGAGCCGCGCATTTCTCATCGCGTTCGACGAGCAGCCCGATTTGGCCAAATTTTGCCCGCAGACTGCCCGGCAAAATCTGGCCAAATCGAGCCGTGCCTTTCTGGAGGCCCGAAATTATTTAAACTATCGCGGCTCGGTTTGGCCAAATTTTGCCGGGAAGTCTGCGGGCAAAATTTGGCCAAATCGGGCTGCTCGTCGTACGCGCTGAGAAATGCGCGGCTCGATTTGGCCAAATTTTGCCGGGCAGCCTCCGGGCAAAATTTGGCCACATCGAGCCGCGCATTTCTCATGGCATACGAAGAGCAGCCCGATTTGGCCAAATTTTGCCCGCAGGCTGCCCGGCAAAATTTGGCCAAATCGAGCCGCGATAGTTTAAATAATTTCGTTCAATTAGTTCATTCATTTCCAAATGGGGGGGATTCCCCAGCCCCCACCCCCCCCCTTTGGAAATAAATGAATTAATTGAATTAATTGAATTAGTTGAATTAATTGAATTAATTGAATTAATTGAATTAATTAAATTAATTCAATTAATTCATTTATTTCCAAAGGGGGGGGGTGGAATTAATTGAATTAATTGAATTGATTGAATTAATTGAATTAATTGAATTGATTCAATTAATTCAATTAATTCAATTAATTCAATTAATTCAATTAATTCAATTAATTCAATTAATTCAATTAATTCAATTAATTCAATTAATTCAATTATTTCCAAATGGGGGGATTCCCCAGCCCCCACCCCTCCCCCCCCTTTGGAAATAATTGAATTAATTGAATTAATTGAATTAATTGAAATAATTGAATTAATTCAACTAATTCAATTAATTCCACCTCCCCTTTGGAAATAAATGAATTAATTGAATTAATTGAAATTCAATTCATTCAATTCATTCAATTAATTCAATTAATTCAATTAATTCAATTAATTCAATTAATTCAATTAATTCATTTATTTCCAAAGGGGGGGGGTGGGGGCTGGGGAATCCCCCCCATTTGGAAATACATGAATTAATTGAATTAATTGAAATAATTGAATTAATTCAATTAATTCAATTAATTCCACCTCCCCTTTGGAAATAAATGAATTAATTGAATTAATTGAATTAATTG